CACACACACACACACAACTTATTTAACAATCTTTTCCTCAACCCAACTAAGTAGTTTCCTGTGAAAACGGAAGTTGTACACGCGTTGCTGGATTTCCGTAGAAAAAACGCACAAAGAAAATGAGGAGTAACTTTTCGTAGGATATCACACGGACCGTCGTCTACAGATACGTTGACTTCTAACGACCACTCCTGCCAACTAAACAGAGACAGCGTGCTTTAGCAACCATCAGTTCTTCAGTCTAATGCATTAATAATGCCAACCTATAACCAACAACCTTAAAGCCGTCTTGTATAAAGTTACCTTCCATTTAAAAATACATCTCAGGTACACACTACCGTCCCGTATTCTAAACGGTGAGTTCGTCAAACGTCCGATGGTCCAAACTGATTTAATAAAGAGTGTTTTGCTCATTTTCTCTCAATGCAAAACTCAACATAATGTGTTGGAAACATGAATACACTCTGAATTCTTTCTGTCTCTCTCATCAATATGCTCTATTGTGCTCCACTGCGCTGCTGCAGAACAGATGTTTTCGGTTAGTTAGGACAGTTATAGCAAAGCACACACACACACACACACACACACACACACACACAGTAGAGACAATAGCATCTCTATCTGATGGCCTCCTCATCTACCCCCTGCAGAGCAGATTGCTACTGGAGGCTACCTTTACTGGAATGTAGGTAGCAACACACGCGCGCACGCGCACGCGCACACGCACACACACACACACACACACACACACACAGCTGTTTACCAACCCAAGACATTTGGTTGCATACCTTCGACCACATGTCAAAACATTATTTTCTAAAAAAAAAAAAAATCAGAGGATCTTTGTTGCCTCTTTTTTGGGCAAATCAAATTCCAGACTGTTTCCAAACATGCATCTGCTGGAATTCCCCCTACAGAAGAAGAAGAAGAAGAAACCCTTTCAGCCCCAAATATAAAACAGGAGACTCGTGGAGCAGTTAGAGTTCAGTTTAAGGATGTTTTAAAAACCCTGCGTCACATATTCAGCGACTTAGTCTGCATGAAAGACGGTTAACGACATAATCAATCTTTATAAAAAGGAGTGTTAAACCCATTAAATCCACCAAAAACTAATCTGCATGAATCCAACACCAGACAACAACAATCTGCAAAGAGATTCTCTCATTGAAATTTGAAAATCTGACTAGAATAGAAGGAATCTCCGTCTGTCCTTTGGTTTACTTGAACCGAATTTTATCCGTCCCCGACGCGAAAATCTGAAAGCCGTCCGTCATTTAGCTTGCAGGATTGGGAAATCCCACGTTCACAGAGTCTGTTAAAGTCCAATTTGCCAGAATTTGTACGACACCGTCCGTCAAAATGGCCGCTGTAGTCCTTTAAAAATACCTCGACAAATGCTGTTTGACTTCAAGAGAAATTCACGGCCACATAATCACTCACACCTAAAACATGCCACCAAAGACGTTCATACACGGGACACATGAAACCACATCATCCAACAACCGAAAGAAACGACCAAAGAATGTTCTGTCAAATACAACAATGGGAGGAAACTCACCACTCTGTCGTAATAAATGTCACAAAACACACGGGAAGACATCTTGAAGAAACCTTATTTGTTCTTATTTGCAACCTTTACGTGTATTTCCACTGACAGATGTTCAACAGGCTGATAAGGCCGACTCTCCGAATGGCTGACTGAGAGCTAATGGCTAACATCTAGAGCAGATAAAACACCTTTAAACTCAGCTCATCAGCTGGCTGCAAAGACAACAAGTAGTCGAGTTGGATAATTATGTGTATTGGACATGTATGAACACACACACAGTGGTACTTTGTTATGCTGCTGGAGGAATGTTGACCAAATGGCTTATATCCCTCTGCTGTCTCGGACTCCCCTCCCCCCCTCCCCAAAAAACATGGACATCCTGAAAGGGCAACTGGCACATTTTCATGCACTTAATGTCTCACACACACGTTTCAACCAACAGCAGAGTCTGGCTGGTAGCTGGCGCTCACATGCACAAAAACAACACTTTAATAATCTTTTTAACGCCGACATAAATCAGGGAGAAGTAGCTACCACTAGATTGATGATAAATAATCTAAATTTAATACATTTTTAAATGATATAACACAGAGAAAAGCTGCAGAATCAACACTTTTGAGAAGCCGGAACCAACAAATGCGAGGCTGGTAACCATTTAGAGAAATTGGCAAGCAATTCCTCGCCTTTGGTTGCCATCGTTGCATCGCTCTTGCATTGTTGCACGAGTGATTTTTAAATATTGCCGTTTAAATCAGAACTGGAACCAGACAACGCTGCACATATGGAATTATGAAAAGAAAGATGCCGTCGAAATAACGCCACCGCGACGTCAAACATTGGTTTGTGCGTTGCCGTTTTTTGAAGCCTGGAGTTCGTCATTCCGGCGATCGCCATCTTGGTTTTTGCAACCAGTCGTTGAACACGCCCTTTTTTAAGGCGAACAAAATGCCACAATTACCATAGTGTGAATATCCTACGCCGTGACTAAGAGCGTGTAGATGAAGCATGAAGTTTAATTTTGTTCTCATTTAGCGGCTGGCTAGTTAGCTACCTGCTGCTAGCTCGTTTTCAATGCTAACTTTACGCCGACTACAGCCGGGAGCTGTCGTGTTCGTCATCTCTCCGCCCCTCGCACACTTCTTTTTGTTGCATTTTTTCAAAACCATGCAGTAATATCTTTAAAAGAGTGTTTTTAGGTGACATAAAGAACGCTCCGGCAGCCATATTGGATGTCTTCAGCTCTTTACTCGTCCTCCTCTGTCTCTCTGCAGTGAGAGGATTATGACTGTACTCAGCTGTGGTCCTTACAGACAGTGAACCTCCGTGCGGAGGCTGAAGGAAACTCTCTAAACCTAAAACACATCATGTCTTTCTCTCACACACACACACACACACACACACACACACACACACACACACACAC